TTACTAACTGTTGATAAGTGAAGTAGGTGTGTTTAGGGGAAGGTGTTGAGTAAATCTCTCATACACTAGCAGTAATGTAATCAAGCTGACTGGGTAGGAACTAAGAAATGAGGCTAATAATAAATTTGTATTATTTACTAGTGAGTGTTTATAGATAAACTCTTACTTGTGTTTGAGAGAATGGAATAAGATGTTTCCCATATGATGAGGTTTAAGCTTTACATTAGATGAGCAGTTTCAGGATGTTAGTCATTACTGGTACGTTTCCTGAACACCAAAAATGCAAGGAAGACTTAATTCCCCTTTTCAATAGTGCTATTAACTCCTATCTCACAGCTTTATGCCTATTCATGTCTGCTTAGAAGGTTCATTCACACAGCTGAGCATGGGAATTTCTATTGGTGCAAGTTAGGCTCTACCTTCACGTTAAAAGGTATGATAGGATGGACTGGAGCAGCTCACCTACTCCTGGGCTCCAAATTATTGTATAGGGGAAAGCGCTTCTTTAACCAAACTAAAATGCTAGACTGGCTTTTCCATAAATAGCAGCATGTAACTTACTGGCCTTGGACACCTTGTTTTACCTGAATAACATTTCATGCTGGAAGCTGGGGTTTGCATTATGGGGTTTTAAACCTGAAAATATGCATGGAAAAAATGAACATCATGCAGACAGAACAATGAAAATATGTTTTCAGATTTGAAACAGACCTGAAGTAGGTATTGGCTGGATTGGGGTTATCTGCTTTGCAAACATGGAAAGGCATTTAAAGCTGAATGTGGTTAGATCCTTGTATAGTTTTATACTTGAGACAGAGGGGTCTTTTTTCTGACCTCAGTGGCAGTGGAATTAGGGACAGTATAACCTTCTTGGATTTTGCATGGCAAATGTCAGCTTCTCATCACAGGACCATGTAATATGCTAGAAAGAATGAATTCTTTAGTTCATACCTGCTGTATTTCTGCATTTCATACTATTATGGCACAAGGTACTTAAGATACTTTGCCCTGAAAGGCCCTGTCACTCCCGTACTCTTGCTGCCGAGCAGCACTCTGTTCTTTCATTAGCTTTTTGTATTACCCTCCAAGCAATGCAGAGTGACTTGATTTAGGCAAGAAGTGGTGGGCAGACAGCTAATAGGTATCTTATCTTAGACAAAATGACAGGATTGAATCAAAGTGCTATAAACTTGCTCATAATATCAATCTGTAGTGAAAAAATCAAGTAGTATCTGAGTACCTCTCAGCTGATTGAGGGGTTTCTCAAGAAACCCCAGTGGAATTCTTGCTGCCTTCTTTAAGAAAATAAACCTGACCAGGTAATTTATTCTTATGGATGCCTGTGGACATTTTGCATATTTTAGGTAGAGTAATGCACTGAGCTGTTTCTGTTGCATTAAGAACAGCAAGCTGTTATCTGCTGTCTCACCCATGCCCATTTTCCACATCTTACCTTTGCAGCACAGCCAAAAGTTCTCCTTTTTTATCTTCCCACTCCTTTTGGCTGGACAAGGAGATCTCCACCACCCCTGGTGCCCATCATCCAAAGGCTGTTAGCTGTTGAAGACCTCCAGCCTCCACCCCCTATAAGCCACTGACCAAAGGGACAGGTCTCCATTTGGACCAGCCAGTGTTGGTGATGAAGCCCTAGAAAACAGTTCTGAATTTATGTTATTATTCCAGGTAGAGATGTCTTTTACCATAATAGCTGTCCTGGGCAGGCCTTGCAGTAGTACAGGATAAGGTTCTCCTTCCTTTCAGAAACACTCAGTGGTAGTAGTTCATGTGTGTATGCACAGCATCACCATGCTCAGGAGCTTGTAGAACCACCACTGTGGTTTGTTTTTATCAATAAGGAGGACATTGCTTTGGTTTGCAGGAGAATTAAGTAATTGTAGACTAACCATTGAACAGAAAACTGAAATCAGCCCAGTTCAAAACAAGAGGAAAGCTGTCACACCTGGGCATCTGGCAGGCTGGGATTCACCCGTGTTTCAGCCCCTGCTGGCCACTTCCTGAGCCTGGTTGCTGAGCTGAGGGAAGTCCAAGCTGTGATCCAGAGCACGCAATCAGTGCAACACGTGAAGGAAAAGCCCCAACTGCCTCCTGTGTTGCTCAGGCTGCAGACTGCCTTTTGTTACAGCTTTTCCAGCTCCTTGCCAGATCCCAGGGTTACACCTCCTATTTGGTGCAGGAATTGTAATAAAGCCTCACTGCAGATTATATCCCTTCTGCTTTAAAAGTGGCTTATTGAAGACACATTGGTGTGTTGGGGTTTTTGTTTCCAGGAAGCCTTGTTGGCAGCATATTTTAATTATGCTCTGAAGCTAATCAAGGCAAGAGAAATGTTTTGAACACAGGAAGCTGAACAGCTAATCGTGTAATTGAGTGCCTGTTTCCACAGGGGATGTACAAGTGCTTAAGTGTGGCTGAGCTCCAGCACACCAGCAATCTGTTAAATGGCTACAAAGTGCAGGCTTTATTAGGAAGGGGAGGATAGGCTGTGTGGAGACCTCAGAGCAGCCTTCCAGTATCTGAAGGGGGCCTATAAGAATGCTGGGGAGGGACTCTTCATTAGGGACTGTAGTGACAGGACAAGGGGTAACGGGTTAAAACTTAAACAGGGGAAGTTTAGATTGGATATAAGGAGGAAATTCTTTCCTGTTGGGGTGATGGGGCTCTGGAATTGGTTGCCCAGGGAGGTTGTGAATGCTCCATCCCTGGCAGTGTTGAAGGCCAGGTTGGATGAAGCCTTGGGTTACATGGTTTAATGTGATGTGTCCCTGCCTGTGCCAGGGGGGTTGGAACTCGATGATCTTAAGGTCCTTTCCAACCCTAACTATTCTATGATACACACTACCCAATGTTAGGCACCCACTCTCCCTTTTCAGTCACCTGAGGAGAGAGAGGCCACTGAGAGTAGGAGACTGAAGGACAAGGCTTTGGGGAGACTGTAGAGCAGCCTCCTATGCCTAAAGCTGTGACAAGAAATCTGTAGAGGGCTTTTGACATCCGCCTGTAGGGACAGGGCAAGGAGGAATGGCTTGAACCTGCCAGAGGGGAGACTGAGCTGAGCTCTTAGGCAGAAGCTCTTCCCTGTGAGGGTGCTTAGGCGCTGGCACAGGGTGCCCAGAGAAGCTGTGGCTGCCCCATCCCTGGCAGTGTTCAAGGCCAGGTTGGACACAGGAGCTTGGAGCAAGCTGCTCTAGTGGAAGGTGTCCCTGCCCGTGGCAGGGATAGGAGCTGGATGAGCTTTACGGTCCCTTCTAACCCAAACCAGTCTGGGATTCTAACAGTGAAGATAGCTACTTTGTTTCTTGGCTTGATGCCAGCTCTGGAATTAGTATACCTGATGCTAATTGCCATGATTGCCATTTCTGATCTACTTCTGTGAACTGTTACTGCAGGTAATAAAGTTTCCACTAAAATCCTCCATTTCCTTCGTTTGTTTCTGGTTTTGGGCTTTTTGGGTTTTTTCCACAATTTTTAAAGGCAAATCTTTCTTTGGCATTAAAAGCAGAGGTGTATATATTGCAATGAAGCTCACTCTTCAGAAGCTACATGGTATGTAATGCATGATGAATAGTGCTGTATTGCCTGGTCTGAATAGATAACAGCTATGCACTGCATGTTCTGCTTCCCAAAGGAGACCACCTCTGTGTCTGCAATAGCTCCTCTTATATGCTGCTGGAAAGTCTTAATAGCTGGGGAGAGCCTCCACATTAGATTGGAGACTATTTGAACCACACGCACAGCAAGTTAAGTCCATTTAAGTAAACTGAAAAAGCACTGACAGCTGAAACAGTCCTAGGGCAGTGGGAGTGTCCTGAACCTTTTCACAAAGGGCAGAAGGAATTCCTCCAATCCGAATTGCAAGAGATTATGAAAGTGAAGCTTAACTGGTATGAAACAAACAGGAGAGGCAAGGCTCAGCCACAGAACATTCATGTTCCCTGCTCAGTCTTCACTAGGTTCAAAGTGTTCCCTGCCCCTGCCCACTTGGTTTGTTTTCCCTGAGCACATCCTCTCTAGTTCAAGCGCTCTGTAAACATGAACTTTAGCTTTTCAGCGGGAAAAGAGAGAAGATGATTTGCCTGCTGCAGGCATACAGCTTCACTCGCGTGTTCAGCCACCCTGCTTGCAGGCTCCCTGCCCTTACAGTGAAGATTCCAATTTGCAGCCTGCAGAATAATTACACAGGGTTTGCAGAGGTCTGTTCAAGCTCTGCTGCGCTGCTGAACTGTGCTGAGCAAGTCCATGAATCCCCTGGTTCTGTGCAGTGCCTGGTAAGCATCACATATGCCGGTGATTTGACATGCTCTGTTTCAAGGTGACTGGCCAAAGCATTTTCTGCCTTATCTTTTCTCCCCTCTGCGTTCGCATTCCTGCTGTTGCTCGGTATCAGCGGTAGGACGCTGGGCTGGGGCTAGGCTCTGTTCTCTGTGGATAATGGAAGATACGGGTGCCCACATTTATATGCAGGACAGCAGCAAAGTTCTTTTCACAGGAGCTTGAAATGCTGCAATCCCTGTTTCCCACTGGCTCTGATGCAGGAAAGCGGCTAGAACCGCGACAAGAAAAGCAGCACCAAGAGAAGTCTGCTTTTGTCCTGGATTTGATAGTTCATCTTGAAACACCTTCGGCCACGCCTGTTGATGGATATGAAGCAAAAGTAAACATTTCTCTTTTGGGTGGCTGGCTCCATCCTCCTGTCAGGCACTTGTAGGGAGCGGTAAGGTCCCCCCTGAGCCTTCTCTTCTCCAGGCTGATCTCCCCGGGTCCCTCACCCGTTCCCATCACACTTGTGCCCTGCACCAGCTCCCCTGCCCTTCTCGGGAAAGGCCCCTTTACACCCTCCCTGTCCCTTGCGCTACGTGTCCACGGGCTCACCGCGGGATCGGCGCCGGCAGCATCACCCCACCTCCTCCCTCTGCGGGCGGCGGGGTGGGAGGTGCCCGGCGCCGCCATAAAAGGGCCGGCTCCGGGCAGGCTGCGCTGCGCTGAGCTCGGCAGCCGGCGGGGCTGCGTGGGGCTGGTTCGGGGCGAGCGAGCACTGCTGGAAACAAGCGGCTCTGGTTTGACAAGGTGCGTCCTTTGCTAACGGAGAAGCGCGGCGGGGTTTACCAGAGCGGGACTGTTCCCCCTGCGGGTGTCCTGATGCTGGTTTGTCTCTTTAGTGGTTTAGTTCCGTTGTCGTGCTGAAATCTGTTTGACTTTCCTAAAGACAGTGTGCTGGGCAGACTGTTTGGAACCCATGGGTTGGCTGGGCTGGTACTGATCCTGTCTCGGATAGTATTCATTAGGGGTTGTTTATAGTCTGGGAAATAGAAGCCTCGGGGGGGTGGCAGGGAGCCTTATCGCTCTTTACGGCTACCTGACAGGAGGATGGAGCCAGGAGGGGCCTGGTCTCTTGTCCCAAGTAACAAGTGACAGGACAGGATGAAACAGCCTCAAGCTGTTAATTGATGATCCTGGAAGTCTTTTCCAACCTGGCTGATCCTGTGATGCTTTTGCTGTAGTGTGTTCATGTACTTCTGCATCTCTGTGTGTCTGCAGGTGGATCTGTACTTCAGACTCTTTCTGTTTGAGGCTCTCCTGTCCAGCTGCAGTGATGTGGCTGTTGGAGAAGATCAGAGCATCACATGAAAATGGAAGCATCCCTAGCTCCTCCTTCCTGGGACTGCCATCTGGCCAGAATCTGCCAGAGAAATCCCATCTGGGGGCTGCTGCTTTTCCCAATGTGCTCACTCCTGACAGAATCCCTGAGTTCTGCATTCCCCCCAGGCTGACCAGTTCTGGCCCTATGAAGGGCACTGGCTTCCGCCAGGACCATACTTCAGAGGATGCAGATACTCATTCTTTCGGCTCCAGCTCCAGCTCTTTACCACATCTCATTCAGGTGGAAAGTGCTGAAGAGATCCCAGACCTGGAGGAGGAAAGCACCAACTCTGACCCCCAGTCCCAAGCAGCACTCTCCCTGCCTCACTTTCCCAGAGCTCCCACTTCCTACGGCTTCTGTACTTTGCTGGAGAGTCCCCACACCAGGAGGAAGGAGTCCATCTTCCATGGTGACCCACGTACTGCTCTGCCCAGCCTGATGCTGCCTCGATCCAGAGCTAACACACTCTCTAGCAAAGGGAGTATGTCTAATCCCATTGCTATCAGCTTTGCCTCTGTGAGGCTCCCTCCCAGGCATCCCTCTCTGCACAGGCAAGGTGCCTGTGACAGTGACACAGCCTCTTCCAGTGACTCCTCTCCTTTCAGCTCTCCCCTTCTCAGCAGGTCACCTCCCAGGTCCTGCTCCCGAATCAAAACACAAAGTCAGGAGGGATTGCTGTGCCGAGCACTGAAAGCCAAGAACAAATCCAGCATGCCCAGGAACAATTCCCTCTCCACAGAGGAGAGCAGCTCCACTGATAACAGCCCCAGTGCCATCAGGCGGGCCTCAGGGGGGCTGCTCACCACACGGACCTGCAGCATGTCCTGTTCTCCCATCTTTCCCCTGGACCTGGGCAGCAGCCGGGAGAGACGAGTGGGAGAGAGCGTGGTGGTGATGGCCAAGGGGGGCGTGTTGAGGCTATTGGCTGAATACTGCTCAGAGAACGAAAGGCTGCGGATCCGCCTGATCAGTGCGGAGGGTTTATATGAGGACTCTGCAGAGCCCAAAACCATCAACTGCTGTATCACCTTCTCCCTGATGCCAGGGAAAACACAGAAGCAGAGAAGCACTGTTATAAAGAGAAGCAGAAATCCCATCTTCAATGAGGACTTCTTTTTTGATGGTATTGCAGAAGAGCAGCTTTACAGCCGCTCTGTAAGAATGAAAGCGGTGAATAAAGGGTGCAATATGAAACGGGATTACACCTTAGGGAAGCAGGAATTGTCTTTAATAAGTCTGTTGTCAGTGTAAAACTTCAAACATTCCAACAGACTAATCTTGTCTTCTGAAAGTTTTGTACTAAATAAAGTTTTGGGTTGACTTTCTTACCTTTTAATTTTCTTATTTCTTAAAGAATACCTTAAAGCACTGCATTGCTTGGTATTGCTCTCATGCTTTTGTACCGTGTTCTGCTGCTTCAAATTGAGGTAGTTGCTGCTAAATGAAAAGGTGGCTATGGAGCAAACCTGTAGAGGAGAGGAGGGCAGAATGCTGGTTTACATTTCTCCTGAAGGATTAGGCAGTTACCATGACAAAGGTGTTCTTGCTTATGGCTTTCCAGGTGAGGAAGGGTTATTTTTTCACTCTGGTCCCTAAGCAGGCACACAGAATGTGCACACAGCAGGCTCTGAACCCTGCCATAGCTCCTGGGTAGTACATCAGTTAAACAGACCATTTCTGACAGCACTCATATTTACAGACATGAATGCCCTCTGTGTGGGACGGGGGAAGGAGAGGGGTACAGTTTGTTTGGGAATCAGCCTTTCTCCTAAAACAGGGGTGGGGGATTTGGACCAAGTTTGTGTTGAAGATAACAAGCTCAGCTTTGGAGTAACAGCTAAAGCCCTTGCAGGCAGGGCTCTCTTTCTCTTGACAGACCTGCACTGTTAACACTGAACAGTGAGATGGCTCTTCCCTGGGATCCCTAGGGAGCAGGTGATTGAGTTAGCATCTTTATTTACCTTTCCTTTCCATGGCTGCTTCACAGCTCTCACGATGAAGCTGCTAGGTAATTGTGCTTCAGCCAGGAATGTACCCTGAAGCTATAACCCTCAGTAACTCAGCTATCGAATCCTTCCTGAAACTGAAGCAGATAGGATAGCAATATAACAAGAGGAAAGGATAGTTTGTGATCTCTGTGTTGAATTCCTACTTGAGCTGATGACTGGCTGCATACATTGTTCAAGTAGATAAAATTAGGATAATATCTCTATCTCCCTGTCCTGCATCAGCAAATGGTGAGTGGCTGAGGCACTTGCTTTAACATCATGAGAAATACAAAGGTGCAGAGCTCCTGCATGTTTGAGGCCACCTTCCCTTTTATTTTTGCTAATTCTTTCCTGCTGAGGGGCCTGGGTAAAGCAGACAAACTCCCAGAAACCCCAGCTGTGCAAAGGGGGAGAGGCAGAAAGGCTGTCCTGGAAATCCAGGCCTCTTGCTGCCTCCCTTGATTAAGTTGCAGGCTTCATTATGGGAAGGTAGATGAAGCCTTAATGGAGGAGCAGCCCACAGAGGCATGGGGCACAAAAAAGGAACGTTTTCTTCTGTGAGGCTGTAGAAACAGGGCCTTGCTTGTGCCAAATCTACTGCTTAAAAGCTCTTTCAGAAAGATTTCTAGCAGATCCTCTCCTTGCCCTACTCTGGAGAGAGCCTAACTGCCTGCACATCATGGGACTGCTCACGGGAGGCGCTGGTATTGCTCGGCCACTGGATCACTTGATTCTGTTTCAGACTTCAGTTCCCCAGGAAGGATTTTTTCCTTCTGATAAAAGCCCAAAGGATGTTCACTGCAACCACAAGCACTCAGAAATGCTCACTGCTAATCCTTGACCAAGCTCACGTGAGATGCTTCTAAAAACAGAACCCTCACACAAAGAGCAACTTGCACAGGGGAATGGCTGGGTATATTCCCAGAAGCTGATTAACATCAAATTAAATAATAAAGCCTTTGCGCTAAAGGGAAGAATTAAAGGTACTGACACCCGCGCAGCTGGATGTGATGCACTGACACTTGGATCCTGCAGCCTGGGCAAAGTGATTGTAAGGGAAACCCTGAAGGAAGTGGGGAGAAGTGAAATTACAAAAAGGGGACTTCCAGGAGTAATCAGTAATGGTGCAAAACGATTAACCCTGTTTAACTGATTATTGTATGGGGTCTGCTGAAGGAAGGCAGAGGCTCTCTCTGCAGGCTCAACACTCATTCACCATCCCATTTTCAGTTCTTGGGACTTTTCACAGGTATACCCCACATGGAGAAAGAGGCTGAGGTAATACAAAAGAGACCAGTTACATGTGTCAGAGGATCACATACAGTCACACTGCAGTGGATATCTGTCCTGTGATACGTGCCATGCCAGGGCTCTACTGCAGGGACATGGAATGATGGAATGGTTGGGGCAGGAAGGGCCCTTTAGAGACTGTAGTACCAGCTCCAAAGGGTTGCTTATGACCCAAGGCTGGAGTGTCTCCAAGGACAGAGATTCCACAATCTGCTTGGAAGCCCTACTGCAGTGTTTCACACACCCTTTAACTTGGTTAAAGTTTTTCTTTCAGTGGAAGTGGAATTTCCTGTATTTCAGTTTGTGCTCATTGTTTCGTGTCCTGTCACTGGCTATCACTGAGAAGAACCTGACTCCATCCTCTTCACTCCCTCCCATCAGATATTCATACACACCAATAAGATCTTCCCTGAACCTTCTTTTCTACAGGCTAATGGGCCTACTGCAGTTACCAGCATGCAAGAGATGTGCTTGTAAAGTCTCATCCTTCATCAGGTAGGGAAGGAGTTAAGTCCATTGAGAAAGTCCTGTCATAGGAAAATAAGGTTCCAGCTGGGCTCATCTACTCAGGTATTTAAAGAGGTGAAGTCTGCAGCTCTGATTGCTTGAAAGAGAACTGCTGGGTTTAAGGCTCTTCAGGTAATGACTTCTTTCTGAGAAAGCCTCTTTACAGAAGTTTGATGATGGGCCTGCAGGCTAGAGGGTGGCTTGATCCTTCAGCTGAAAGCAGGAGGAGACATCCATACCAGATTCAAAGGCAGAGTTCAGGCCTGGAAAGGACAGCTGGATTTTGCCTGTGTTTTTATGGTAAATAATCTAGCTTCAGTTTTTCCTTGCTAATTTTCTCTTTTAATATAAGAACTTTGAATTAAGTACCTATTCAGCTACATTAGTCATACTCAGGACTAAGTATGTCTGTAACATTAGATGGAAAACAGTTTTGGTCCCATCCCTTCAATTTTAGTGTGTCTTTTTACATTTGGGGGTATTTGATCCCTTTTGAGCTTTGGGGTGTTGCTTTTCAGGGTGTTGTCCTTACCAGCAGTGCAGAGTCATAATACAGCTCAAATGCTTTAACTTGCTTGAATGTTAGAGGCCACAGGACTTGTTTTCTTGTGCTCTTAGACGTCAACTAAGCTGTTAAGTGGTGAACACCTACAGCTCTGCCTGGGCTGCAGCTGCTTTCCAGAAGCGTCAGCGTTATTTGGGCTAGTACGTAAAGCACCTGCATAAGCAAACAGGAAGGCAACTGGATACTTCAGCCTGGAAAAGCTCCTAATGCATCAATGCTTATATGAGAGTCAACAGCAAGAAGCAAATCCACCTCCTGACATTAGCAAACAGAGTTAGAAAAGACTCTTCAGAAGTTGTCTGAGCTTCTGAAATAGCATGAATCTACGGTTGTGTGGATGACTCTATATCAGTGGTCTGGCCAGCTGTGCTCAGTAGTGCTCAGTGGCTTGAACATCACCTCTTAATTTCATTCCTAAGAAGACCCTTCACACTTGTTTGAGGAAAAGAAGCTCCTCCTGCCAAGATCCCGGACTCAGGTTTTGCAAAGCAAATATTATTTGTTTCAGCTGCACTGGAGGTGCTATTTGTGCTGGCCTTTTCAAACCCAGTTATTTTAAGCATGCCTCTTCAGTGCTGGACAAATGTTACTGTGAAGCAAATGTATGTTTTTCCTGCCAGAAATCCATGCAGCTTATAGTTAAACACAGCCTGTGGTGCCATGTAGAGGAGGGTAAAACACAATTCTTGTAACTATGCTGCTTTTCAGGTAATGTTTGGAAATAATACCAAGGGAAACAAATACCTGTGACCTAAAAAGCCAAACAGGGCAGACGTGTAGGCTGGGGATTGGGCAGCACAGTGTCTGCAGTATCACATTCCATTTATTGCAGCACTTGCTCTAAGCTGCTCCCATTTCTCGGACTGGCTCTGGAGAGGCACTGCTGGGAACAGCATCTATGCCACCTCCTCATGCCCCCTCTGAGGAAGCTGATTCCTGCAGCTTGGCTTTTCAGTCAGCCATAGTGACTGTGATGAAGGATTGAGTATATGGTGGGGCCTAATGGGCAAAAATCTTTCTAGTCTTACTCTAACTCTTAATTCCTGTTGGTAACTTTGTGTTTGGTCAGAGAATTGAGGAAAGAACAGCTAGATAAATGTGTAATTCTGTGGAGAGCCTGCTTCTGCAGGACTGCTGGGGAGGACATACCACAGGCTACATGCTCATTGGGCTGTCCCAGTGCTCTCCAGCAACTGCTGCCTGCATCACAGTTGGGCAGTTGTCCTGTATCTAGGTGATAGATCTTTTAGCTTGTATCAGTGTCTGTATTGTTGGGTATGACATTTGGCCAAGGTGGAAAAGGTAATGAGTCACATCTATTGATAGCTTTTTGCAGCAGGATGTTTGATTAAAACAAACAGCATCCTCACATTCACAAAACGAATGGCTTAATTAAATCCTGTCTGTTTTCCATTGCTGTGTTCTCTGAACAAAAAAAAAACCCCACCATGTAAGATTAATCTGCATATTTAAATAAGGTGGCATTTCAGTACAGCCTTAATGCTGATGACTGTCACTGAAATGTACTCTGATATCATTATTAATAGTGTCTTAGAAGAAATGACTAAAGTTATGCTGAACAATCTGTCCTGGTAGCAGAAGTAAATCAAAGTTGAACATTGCAGAGTGTCTGTGAACTCACCTACTTGGCATCAAGGTGATTGATAGCAAACAGCAGGGAACGGACCTGTGGATGCTCCAAACCAGCCCTCATCCTGGGCTGTGCACAGCACCATGCTGCCTGCAGAGTGGGGGCAAAGGGCTACATTCTTCTTTGTGTATCAGCCTGTTGTGCCTCCATCAGCATTGTGTGTGTTATGCTGTTGGCCCTTTGCATTTAGGGGATTCTCATGAGAGGAAATGAGCTTCCAGCAGTGTTTTGCTCCTGTCAGGAACAGAAATGGCTACAGCCCAGGTTGCTGGTGGTACTTGGCAGCCGGGGTGAAGCAGGGGCAATTGAGCACAGTTCCAGAGATGAGAGGAGGGGTGCAACAAGCAGGAGTGAAAAGAATGAACAGCTTGGTTTGCCCAGACACTACCGCAGGTGACCAGACAGCTCTGTCTTCTGGTTTTGTTATTCCCTCTGCTATTACTTCTCTATTTCTGGCTACAAATGTTCTAATGTTGCAAAATTAGCTATCCTGAGAGGTACAGTGAGAGCCTGACCTTGTCAAGCATTGCATGTACTAGACAGGAAAGTACTGAACAAGATTTTCCAGCCTGCTTCCTTTCTGGTGAATCTCAATGATTCTTCTGCTTGTGTTTCTCAGCCTTTTCAATGTAAAATTGGGAAATGTTTGTAGAAACCCAAGGTGAATGAAAAACCTGCTTCTTTGTAGTGGGAGGACTAGCCAGAGTTCTGGGTCTCCGTTACATTGCTGTTTCGTTTGTCAAAGCTTCCTGTGCTAACCATTAGCTGTTTGTGGTGAGCAGTAAACCTGCATTTACCAGCCCAGCAAATACAATACAGTAACAGATGCTGTCTTGAAATGCTAGAACCAACTTCAGCTTGTCTGAGGTTCCTCTGCTTTCATCAGATTATTTAATTTACATAACTGTGATTCTGTAAGATACCCTGGTTCTCGGCCTGTGTTACTTGACCCCTTCTGGCAGCCCTGTGCCTGTGGCAGAGCTGTACCTGCCAGAACTGCTTTCTGATGATCCCAACCATAAAGTTTAGCAGCAGGAGTTGGGAGCTGAGTGCTGTCAAAGCTGATCCAAGCCAGCATTTCAGCTGTGCAGTCTTGCATCAGTTTGTCTGTGGGGAAGGAGGAGAGCGAAGCCTCCTTGATTTTTTAATGGGTAACAAAAGGCTGGAAAAAAACCCTTTAAGATCATCAAGTCCAACTGTTCCCCAGCACTGCCAAGGCCATCACTGAACCATGTCACTGAGGGCCTGATCTATGTGGGTTTTGAGCACTTCCAGGGCTGGTGATCACACCACTCCCTGGGCAGCCTGTTCTGATGTCCCAGTGCTTGACCATCCTCAGAGGAAAAAAAGTTATGGTCTTTTTCTCCTTACTCAAATGGAATTTCCTGAGTTTCAGTCTGTGCCCATTTCCTCTACCAGTCCATTCCGACAGCACTGACAAGAGTTTGGCTCCATTTTTTTTCTTCCTCAAATCACACTTCCCTTGTTCATTTTATTCACTTTCACTTCCTGAATACAGGAGATGACATTCCTGGCTGTGTTTTGCTTTTAGGTTTGGCTAATAGCAGTAATGTAATGCAAGATGTCTTGGCCATCCTGGCCTTTCTAAAGTACTACAGATAGCTGTGGTCTGGTCCTGCTTACATTATATGCAAAGGGGATCTCAGAAGAATGCTTTATGTGCCAAGTTAAACTTTTTTAATACTCATGTAAGATGTAATGTCATTAGTACAAAATGAAAGCAGTGGAAAACTAAGACTTAAAACCTGATGAGGTGAAAGCTTTACACATTTACTGGTAAGAAATACTGCAATATTAAAGCCTCCCCTTCATTACTGCTCTTGTGGAGAGCTTCAGGCAGCTGTAACTGCAAATGTCACCACAGCAAATGTTCACATTCTTGGCAAGCTTTTGTAAACATTTTGTGTTCATTGCATGCTGTATTCCCCTTTGGGCAGACAACATGGCTGGGACAGGTACAGCACCGGTATTAGGAGTATAACCCTTTTGACAAGCTGTAGGATTGTGAGCAACATTCAATTTAGGGTAGTAGATACAAAAGCCCCAGCTCTGTTATTTCTTACCTGTATCAGTCAAATTACTTGGTAGCTTTCCTAACAGTGAAAAATAAATAGACTGATACTTTGCTTAATGGAAATCTTGCCTACATGTTGCTTGATCTGATAAATAGTTATCTATGGCTTCCCCTGTTCTTGAATTGCAAATGGTGCTTCTAGGGGAAATAGAGCAGGAAGCTAAAGATGGAAATAGCCCAAGAAGCCATGCTTCACTCTCATTTGTAAGGTTTTCCACAAGAATCTTAACAGAGGGTGCATTGTCCTGTCTGTATCTAACCTTAGAGCCCAGCTAGGGAAGCCCCAACTGTCTGCAGTTTCAGGAGTGAACTGCTCCAGAGATGTGTTTGTATATGGCAGAGGAGCCACACAGCTCTCAATAAGCAACAGCTCACCCTGATGCTGGGGAAAGGAAGCCCAACCCATACAGACCGCTGCTTGTTGTGCCTGTAAGGGCTACATAGCAGAGGTCTAGCTAGGATAGAGGCAATTTAAACCAAAGGGAGTCATTTGAGAAAATAACTTGTGTTGCTTATTATAACCCAATAAAGTGTCTCTCAAAGACACTTATGTGTGGGGGTTTTTTGGCTCTAGTTCTACAGGCTGCAGGCATTTGTCACTCAATTCTTGCTGAGAGACAGAGGGAGATAGCCTGAGTCAGATTAGACTTATTTCTTTCTATCTTTGCATGAGGTAGATAAATGCTGTCATTGATCACTAAATCAATGTTGGAGGTGGCCCCAGCAGAAAGCTCCCACCCCTCCGGTTTCTGAGCCTCTCTATACTGCACCCATAAATGCTTTATGTACTAATGGCTGATCAATGTAACAGTTCTACTGTGTACCCGTGAGCAGGAAGGACGCAGCCAGCTCTGCATCCCTGCTCAGTGCATACGGAAGCAGATTCATAATTTATGCTGCTTCTCCACAAACCCAGGCACCAGTGCATTATCATGATTAATTTAACAAAGCTTACTTAGAAATGACACCACAAGTGATAGTGAATGTTGTTTCATTCTTTAAGTGCATATTAGATGTTACTTTCAAGGAAGAACAAAGGAATGAAAGCCTGTTTTTCTGAGCCAGTCTGACAGATAAAATGGGAGGTTGCATATTTCTGACTTTTCCCACATTGGTACATAGCTGCTACGGTGTCGTGTCAGGTACTTGAAATGGCTTTGGCCTGCAAAGGACAGGGTAACATCTTCCCCCCATGGAGGATCAGGGATGGAAGATAAGTATAATGTACAATCAGGATAAATCTCATTCATGAGCCCATGGTGGTTACAGACATTACCTAGCTAGGCTTCCAGCTGGCTTCTTTGAGGTATTTTGGAATTAACCATTGCATCACACCTGGGATGCAGTATCCTGCCTCCATGTGCACCCTGCTTTGCACCCCTCAAGTGCAACCTTCAAGTTCAAGCTTGAAGAACATGTTGTACCTCTAGTGTCTGTTAGCTATTTGATTCCATGAACTGGAGACGTTTCTTGGTGCAGCTTTCACTTACTAAACAGGTTCTTGAGCAAAGGCTGGCAAAACAGTTTGGTTCAGCAACTCTGCAGTTAACATACTTCCCAGACTGCATCATAACTGTCAGACCATTGGACCTGCCATGTAAACCAATGAACTTGATATAAAACTGCTTTTAACCTGTAATTTAATGTTTTTTTGTGGGGGAAATGGCAGACTCCCCATTTCGCATAGGCAGATAGGTGAGTGATTACACTATGTTTATTGTACGTGGCAGCTCTTTTCAAAACACACGTTTAAACAGATGGCTTATGTTGACTATTAATGCAGTTCCTGCGATTAAGTTCAGTCTGAACAGAGTAGGCAGAGATTGACATTCTGTTGACATCACCACTGGTGTATTGCATCTTCTTATGAATGTTCAAACTTGGATCTGCTACTACAGCTTCACTGAAATGTCAACTGTGATAAGTCACGATAGAACTGAAGAGATAAGGTACCTGGCATCTTGCTAATTTACTTTTTGACTGGGACTTACTATTTGCATATTCATGCTGTAATGTTTTATTGGTAATAGTCCACGTTTGAGTAAATTACTCTAAAAAACATAGCATTAGGCTGAAACTTGCCTCTCTTTCTAGATGCGATGGGCTTATAACACAGGCAAGCTAACTTCCACCATGCAGGGAACCCAAATCCATGGTGGTGCTGTGCTCTGCTCACTGAAGCACCTACATGGCCCACAAGCACTGCTGTCAGTGTACGGTCCTACAGGTAAGGCAGCTGTTCCAGAAAATAGGAATGGCCATATGCCTGGTGAAAACTAAAGCTCCTCTAGTGTAGTGTTGTGTTGCTGCATGATATTGCAATAGTGACTGGTAAAGGAGTGTGAGAGCAGCTCAGATGGCACAGCCCAGGCTGCAGAACTGAGGTTGCTTTGTGGCTTCCTGACCTGCAGCTAATTTTGTTGTGTTTAATAGTGCCTGACAGGTTTCACCTTGAAGAATTTGTTGCAGAGCTTCTGGAATTGATGTAAACGTTCATTCCTGCAGCAAAGTGTTTCATACCTTACTTATGTGTTATGTGAAAAAGTGTCTCCCTTCCTTCTGAACTTGCTAATAGCTTCACTTGATCTGTAGGTCTTGTATTGGAAGAAACAGTGAACAATTGTTCCCTATTAACTCTCTTTGTCATCTGCAATTTTGTAAATCTGTTCTATCATCTGATGTGTTTTATACCCTGAAGAGTTCTGTGCTGTTTGTGATATGGAAGAAGATTTTGTGCTTTATCACTTTTTCCTCTATTACTTCACAATATTTTACTTACCTATCTTAGTCATTTCCAGATAAGCTTCTGCAGCAGGTAATGCGTCAGCCCCAAAGTGAGTCTCGTGGCTGCATTTCAGCAAAGAGGATCTTCAGCCTCCTGTGATCCATTTAGGAGTTGTTGGTTGTAGCTTCTGGGGTGACAGTATGGTATGGTATAGTTAGGCTTAGTAGAGTAGCTGCTTAAAACATCTTAACAAGCATGTTATGTCTGTTAGATGCTGCTTACCTTTTCCTCCTTTTATGTAACTCTCCTAAAGCAAATTTTATCTTCTGCTGCTACTTCTACTATATTCTTCACTTAAATTTAGTGTGAAAAAAACCAAAACAACATGCATTTCATATGTCTTTGGATAGAGATGTTTTCAAATGTCCTTTCATTATTCAGTAGTGACTTTATAAACATGCATGCATGGGAGTAGCTTTGTTACAGCACAAAGCTGTGCAGTAGTTATGTGCTTTGGGTATCTGCTTTAGCAGGGCCTGTGGCACACATTCTTGGAAGACCTCCAGTGTCAGTGTGTGATGCTGGGCAAAGCTGAAGTTGAAACAGAACAAGGTCCTTTTATTTCTACGTCTGGCATGCCTTCAGCATTACAGGGCTGGCGCTGCATGGCAGTGAAACACTGCCTCCATGCTGAAATACCTGTTGGAGAAGAGAGCTCATTTTCAGTCACACTAATGCAAATACCCAGACAGCCATATTCCACAATCTAATTAAGCCTGAACAAGAGCAGAAACTTGATACCTACAACTTAAAAAACAGCTGATTATCCCTCTTTGAGTCATTGCTGGAATAAAATAAGCCCACAGCATTTCTGGGAAAGCCTTAGGAAATCTCCTTCGGGAACAACATACAGTGCTTAGCTTTCTTCTGATTTGTTTTGGACTAGTTTTAACAGAATCTAGACAAGAAGAACAAATGAGACAATTCTGTCTCCTGTTATATGAAGTCTGTGAGCTTTCATTTCAGTAATAAGCTGTGGTAAACATAACATTTACAGAGTTATTATTCCAGCAATCTAGTACTATGTAAAAAAACCCCAATGCATCACCAAAAAGCCCCTCCACCAACCTAAAGCCTAAACAACAACAACAAAAACCCAAACACCTCCTCCAAAATGCAACCAACCAACCTGCCCCCAAACCCTAACCCAAACACAGAACACCACCTCAGTCCCTCAAAAACCCAAACCCACCCTTTCAGAGAGACAGTGAAATAGCCTGGCTATAGCAGGTCTACTCTCTAAAAAGCTGTGGTTTAATTTTGGTTGACATGGAGCTCCAGGAAGGAAGTCTTGGACCCAAAGAGATGAACAGCCTGGATGCTTTTCCAATGAGGGGTAAACCACCTGGCAACCACCAGGCACGGCTATTAGCTCTCTACAGAAAGAGAAGTAAAATTAAGTCGTGCTGCAGTTTGGTTAAATATTTGTGAAGCAGATTTAACATCCTTTTACCGAGTGAATGTATAATGCTGTAAACAGCTGTGTAAAAATAACCTCTCAAAACACATTCTTTTTATAGTTTTCCTTGATAAATGGCTCCAGAGCAGCATAAGTAATGCACAGGTACCAGAAACATGAGGAAGCTGATTACAGTTGTAGCTCATATTGGTGGTTATTCAGGGTGTATGACACTTGTTGTCATTGAAGCTGGATTCCAGTCATTTGTAACCTTGTATAATTGTGTTTGTTCTCATGTTTTCTAGCCTGAATGTTAACCTCAAGCTGCATTTTAGTGGGAAATATTGGTCAAAAGGCACAGCCTTCTCTAAGGATCATGTTTAGGAATAAAATCTTGGCTTTTAGTTCTTGTCTCCAAAGGCTTGGAAAAATGATTCAAATACAGCATTAGCATGGTTCTTGCAGCAGGGAGAGACCTCTTGATGTTCTCATGCAAGCTGGAAGGTTTTGATGAGTGGTAATTTGCACATGGTCCATGTAGACTTAGATGTTAGTTGCTAAAATCTTGGTCTGTCTTTTCTGTTTTGTGCATGCCTGATAAAATGATTTTGTCTTGTTTCCGCTCAAGCTGTGTGTGCCTGAACTCTAAAGAATCATTAAACCTGATTCAGCCCACGCATGTAAGTAGAGTCAGACTTTCCTTACCAAAACTGCTCTGGCCTCACCACAGAGCTTGTCTTCTTTTATGCTTACACTGATCCTTCAGCTAAACTTGATGAATGTATGAGAAGAAGGATGAGTGAAGGCCAAGGGAGATGGCAGCCCTCTGCAGCAATGGGTAATGGTAGTGGCTGGGGGAGGACCAGCCCAGCTAGCAAAGGAGTCAGCAGGAAAGAGCTGAAAGAACTGGTTCTCTGAGAAGTCAACAGAAAAGAGGGGTGGGGAAGAGTCAAACTCGGAGAAGAGGCAAAGCTATGGAGATGTGGGAGTTACCATAGCTGCACAGGTCAAAGCAAGGAAACAAACAATAGCAGCAGTGTCTCAAGCAGCAAAACCAGTTTATTGGGTTTGAGGATAAGATATCCCAGGTCAATAGATGCTTTTGTTTGTTTGTTTTCTAATGTGTCCTTTCTGAAAGCTAAGTTCTAAACCAAGCTATTTCAGAAGGTTAATACTCACCATTGTGTGATTGGTACCTTAGCAGGAAGCATCCTGGAACAGAATTTTCCTGAGTTATTTCTGAAGGATACTGGGAGAGGGAAATGGTTGGTCACAGGTGGGTAGGTTGAGGCAGCCCAGGTCAAGATTATCTCTGATTTAAAGTCAGAGATTATCTGACGAGTGCTTCTTGTAGCCGTAGAAGCCTTCAGGTAACATGCACTCATTTAAGAACTTTTCAAATCCAAATAATGTAAGAAAGTGAATGAAAAATGAGTACATTGTAGCTGCCAGTATTTCTTCAATTTTATCCCCTACCATGTCAAACAAATGACGTAATTTTGCTAGTGCCTTATTTTCATCTTCCTGTTTCTAAGCTTATTGGCATTTCCTCATGCTATGCAAAGGTAAAATTAATTTACTCAGAGATTATAGAGAAGTCGGTTGATGTTAGCTTAGGCAGTGATTCAGATTCTGTCTGACATTAAAGATCAATCTCTACTTCCTTTTGGTTTGTGGATAAATGTGACAGACCTTGCAGAGCTACACAGGTAAATTAAGGAACCCTACAGATAAAGGAAACAAATAAGAGTGCTTCTCTCTTACAAAATTCTATCATGCTTCAAAACAGCAGCTATCAGTCTAACTTTGTGACTGCTGAGTATCCATTAGATTCCTGGGCTGTGCTTCCATGTCCTGTGCTGCCAGGTGTCAGGATGGTCTGTCTCCCTGGCAGTGGCACAAATAAACTGGTAGACCATAAATCTTGATACTCAGGTAGAAGTAGATGTTAATGGTGATCAGATGTTTGTTTTGTTTGATTCTGGTTTTCTGTTACCCTCAACAGTTTGCTATGAGTGAACAGATTTTGCTTTTTCCATCTAATGTAACCAAGCACCAACAGGTTATTTTTCCCTTGCTTGTGTGCAGAATATGAACCATCATTTAGAAAAAGGTATTTCATCAGGCAGCCTCTCTGTGGTAACAGTTTTGGCATACTGGGGATGCCTGTTTTTTCTCTGTCATTTGGCTTAGGCAACTCTTATGTGCATGAGACACTGCAAGCAGGATATACACACCTTCAAGGTACAAAGCAATTGATTGTTGCCTTACAGTTAATAGGTGAGACTCACAAGTTCCCAGGCTAAGAGAGCTGGCAGGGACCTGGCAGTGAATGGGGTACAACTGTGTGCCTCCTTTGTTCCCTAGGACAGGCTCACCCTCAGAGTTCCTGAGTTGCCATCCTTGATTCCGTTTTTTTCCCTTAGGGCTTTATGCCTTTCCAGGAAGTGACCTTTCCCATTTCGACAGTCTTGGCCTGTGAGTTTTATCTGTCTTATTTCGCCTGGCTTTAGCTGACATACTGCCTCACAGCTCTTCCTCACAACTTGTTGTGAGACAAGTTTTTGACTAGTTTTAACAGAATTTACACAACAAGAATAAATAGCGCAACCTTATTTCCATTTAGATAAAGTCTGTGAGCTTTCATTTCAGTGAATATACTGTAGCAAACATTAACATTTTCATCTTACAAGTCCTAACTTGTGTTACATGAGTGGCCCACAGGCGCTATTTAAACATGAAGGTATACTCTCGTCCTGTGTGCTCTTTGTTATTTTATTATTTTAAAAGAAAAGTAAATATTAACATCATAGATGCACATCACAGAGGCTCACCTACTGTAAACTTAAAATGGGCAATATTATAATCAAAGCAAAATGACAGTTGAGATTAGATCATGTGTTACCAATTATGTGCCTTGGATCACCAGTTTATGAAGTCATAAAGTTAGTACAGTGTGCAATCAGTGCATGCCCAACAAAGAAGAATTGCTAGTTGTTAATTTTGCATCAGGTGTTTCAAAGAGGAGTTGCTTCCTTTTCGTAAATGCCTATCTGTAACAGAGGACTTTAGCATCCTGTGGATTGCTGGTGCCAGGGTTCACAGAAGGGCACATCCTGGAGGAGAGGATAAAGCCTATTTTCCTAATCTTAAGGAACTGCAGAGACCTAAGCAGGTCCTTTGCGGTTTTCTGCTTCAATGCTTTCTTCTGGAAATTTCATTGCAGTTACAGAGCTATGGTTTATCCTCCTTAGTTATCACTTGCCTTTACCCAAATAAGCATAAAAATGGATGTGCCAAATGGATTTTTCAATGTGATTCTTCTACATCCACTGAAGTTTTCCAATTTCTGGGTAACCTGAACACTTAGGTTCTTTCACTAAAAATAAAAAATCTAAAATGTTGGAAGTGTATCTTTCTAAGCTGCCATCTCTTGTCTTTACAGTAGGTGAATGGATTGTATTTTGGAGTTTGATCTATTTTGTATCCTATTATAACATTGTATGGTTATACTTTCTTAGTGCTTCTTAAATATTCAGTAAAGAGAAGTGTTTTTCACAATATTTACTAAGTGAAAACTATGTATTTTTATATAGCTTATTAGCATTTACTATAAAATAAAAAAATTGAAAAGGTTTTTCCTGACAATCTCATTTCTCAGTGAGCTGTCTGATACCGTTATTAATTATACTGTGCTTTCATCCTTTTGTGACCACATCTATTCCCAGAAATACTGTAAGTAGTGCTTCTGCACACAATTTAACTCCCCAGTAAACATACCCATCTGCTCAGTGTTTTCCTTCCTGCATAATTTTTACCTCAGTGGTAAAAGCAGCTGACTGAGGGCATCAGGCAAGAGATATAACTGTTCCTGCAGATTGTCTTGTTATAATGAAATTGGAAATCAGGTGATGTCAGTGCTATCAGACAATACCCATGCTGACAAATGCCAGCTAGAGTGTGAGGATGTGTGTGACAGGAAGCTTCAGTGCCTACTGCCTTAAGTACCTAAGTGCCAGGGAACAGTTTCGTTCTTTTCTGGATAGCTTCTACTTTGGAGAATGTTTCAATTTAAAACAGCTTTTCTCAAAATTGTGTATTCTCAGAGTAGATAAAATGAGATGTGGTTATGGGCTGAAGAGCTGTCATGGAAATTGTTGTCACTCCACTGCTTTCAAATACTTTTCTTGGTCTCAACAGTAGTGTCATCTTCAGGTTTGACCATTTTAATGGCAGAGGTATAGAGAATGTTCCTATGAAGTTTAGGACAGTGGAATGATTTTTTTTTTGAGTTGCTTTCCTTTCCTGTTGCTGGCTAGTTTCAGAAGTAGGATGCTAGCAAAATTTAGCTCTTCAAACCTACATATACTCACTGGTTCTGTACTTTGTAAAAAATCTCAGGCTTCCCAGTTTACCCCATGGATTTTTCTGATAGCAGCTGTCAGTTTCACAGGCCCCACAGCCTCTACTGGGTAGAAATCTCATTGCAGAGCAGACAATTTCAACATCGTGGTTTGA